AGTATTGTATCCAGTATCTGAGGTTCCAACCAAGCAGTTATCGGGTATAGAAGTTATAGTATACCATGGTTCCTGATGAATAATACTAGGAACAATAATCATTGGTAGTAAAACAATACTACTACTACTAATGGTTTCACAAACAGTTACTAGTTCATGATTTCTTGAGCTAACTATATATGATTACTGATCAGGATCTCTTGTGATAATCTACTGGTCCTGACCAATTCCAATATGGAAGCCAGTCTCATCGAAGTTGTAAGTATTAGCAGGTAGAATCGTATATTTCTGAATAACTGTTACACATAGAAGCGTAATTGGTGCGACACGTGACTAAATGCATAAGGTCACGTGTTCGACTCCGGGCCCCGCCGTAGTATTCATAGCGCTAAGATATTAGCGCACGATATGACAAGGTATCTATGTAGCCCGCTCCGCGGAGATACGAGGCATGCGACCGAGAGGTTTTCGCTGGATAACATAGAAGGAGCTCCGCTCTATAAGATAAGACTTAGTTGGTTCAGATTGGTCAGTTAGTTATTGAACTACGACCTCTGCAAGTCTATATGCAATTACAAGAAGTAATATGCATGTCCCTTCAGCTCGCGTAAGCTAGAGTCATCCGGAAGACCTAGTTACGATTGGTTAATAACAACTGACTGGTTGAGTTAGTTATCTTCGTCATGCACTCTAAGCTATGCACATAGAAGAGTCATTGATAAGTCCTTTGACGGAGCTGATCACTCCACTCAGGAAGAGAGCGGGGAAGTTAGTTTTCAGGGTCAAACGGAGTTCGCACTCCAAGGACACTGAAGCGTTAGTACGGCAGGTACATAGTCAGTAAGGGATTGGATGTAGGCCGCGACCACCCAGACACAGAATATAAATATCGAGGTGCCTCCCTAGCTTTAAGTCGCCAGAGACTATGCAACATGCTGTCCTCTCCTGCCCCTCAAAGGCCCCCTCGAGGCTACTCCATATCCCGGGAGTAGACTCCGTAGGCCATGAGGCTCCCCTGTGGGCGGATAAGGACCTCCTATGGGGTCTCGCACGATACATTTCCGATACCAGAACCAACTTTCCCCCCGCCATGGGCGGGGGCCAGGCGTCGCCCGGCACCAACCCTGTTTCGGATTGAAGTGATATTTTCCTTTGATGTCTTTCCTGACTTTATTTGACTTTCCTTGCTTTATGTTTCTTTCATGCGGAGGGAGACTTGTCTTTCCTTTTGCGATTAGCCGCCCTGGTGGGCGCAGTGGGTTGTATTACTCACAGGTGGGGATTGCTGGTGGAGAGATATTTCATTGCCGTTTGTATTTTTTTGATATTAAGGTTTTGTTTTTGCCATAGCTAGCGCTCCATGCAGGTTCTTGTACCTTAACAAAGAATATATGAGTTAAACAAAAAAAAAAAAAAATCCCTAGCTTTAAGTCTATCATCAGCGACCGGAGAAGAGATCTTATCAATATATTCGTTCTACTTTACTTCTATCTTTACGAGCCTTCTTGACTATCTCCGAGACAGAAGATTACAGGGCCTAGTGTATACTCACTTGACCTTAGAGTTACCTACCCCCTAACAATAACTCTATTGTACTTCTCAAACTATTCTCATATGTTGTCAAGGTAGTGTATATTTCTACGATCAATATCAAGTGTACACTGTTTTCGAATAAAGAATTCTGAATGGTGGCTCAGAAATCATATGCTCCAATGCTTGCTAACAGTTTATAAGGGAACTAGCCCAGTGTAAGCATTTTGAAGAGTAGTATTAGCACATCCAGTAACCATTTGCAAACGTGCACTAGTACCAATAGTGTCTAAGCGCTCCATGTATTGACAAACAGCTAGTTCCTAGTTTTCTGACAGCTTTCAGTTCACTCCTGGTCATTCTGTTTTTGCCTGCTGGCCTTGCTAGTATTTACATAATCATCTTTCAGGAATTTCAAACTTGCGGGCAATTGCTGAAATATTGGGCATATTGTTTCCTGTCTCTTTAAGGTAAGTAATTGCTGCCTGAATGTGTACCTCAATATCTTTGTATGACTCGATACATTGGCTTAGAAGAATGATAGCAGATAAAAATGCCATAACTGATTATGGTATGAGAGGAATATAAGGCAATAGATTTAGATTTTGGAAGAGAAACTATATAGAACTATTTAAATAGCTTATGCTTTGATCTTTTATAAAGTCCTACAATAATATTAAGCCGCATAATTGTATTTAGCTATTAACTAATATTAATATTAGAAGTTACTACTATGAGCTACAAAATTGTATGGAACCACAAAGTGATAATAAGCTGCAAAATTGTATTGAGCCACAAAGTGACATTGAGGCACAAAATCGTATTGAGCCACAAATTAATATTGAGCTGCAAATTGACACTGAGCTGTCGGGTACTCAGGATGAGTGCCCCCGAAACTTGAGCTAGCAAATTTTCAGAGGTTGCAGTGTCCTAGCTGGAACCTTAGCATGAGTATATTTTCTTATATACCAAAGAAATCCTCTTTGATCACTAATACAAAAGAAAGTTCTTGGCGTTGCATGCAGCCACGATTCTTCCATCCGATTCTATCAAGTTCCATTGTGTAGCAATATATTCCAATCACAATACAAAGGAAATCCTACTCTGCAACCAAGAAAACCATACCTGATATATGTAACCAAATATTTGATACTCAATCCTTCTCTATAGCTGGGTGGCTATGACACACCACTATATTCAGTTGAATGAGTAGTATAACAAGAATAGAGTTGCTTTTGGATTGGGTGATATAATTTATATTCTGCTATTGTTAGTATTTCTGTACACTCAGGAACTTGTAATCTTCCACTGGCATCTAATATAAGGAAGTCTGAAATCATAATTCCTTGCCAATGTGATTTCTTTCAGATAGAAATATTATCAGCTTTAACCTAAACCTTGAGATGACTATTGTTTGTATTGAATATTAATTCATCATATTATACTATTAGAATAATAGGTTGTACTCTAGTAGGCAGATCATTTGGATAAACCATGCAGAGAGACTCTTCTGCATCACTTTAAACAAGTTTCAAAAAAAACTATATAATCTTCTAACAACTTCAAAGCAGGAAGAACCTTTTGCTGCCTATATATAACAACATCAGGTCACTCATATCCGTCTTTATAGACTTCCTTTCATATATCTTAATATTGGTATCCTATTTCCTGCAGCTACTTTATTGCAGTTCAACTACTTAAAGTACTTTGAATTTTCTTTCTCTCTTTTGCAAGTTCCATAAGCTAAGCTTTTACCTTAAATATAAATGGTTGGGGTGGGCTTTTCAATTCAGGTTGGTTCTCAAAGGGAAGAATTCCAGTCTGCCAATAGCTTCAAGTTAATATAGCATAAGCCAGGCCCTGTCCTATGATCCTCTCTCCAGTACTGGCAATTTATTTATAAAGTGCCAATCAAGTTCTCTTATCATTTAACAACTAATACAGCATTGAAGATTTTCTCTGACTTGTACATAGTAGAGTATGTATCTTAATCCAGCTCTTTTTATTCAGGATAATATGATTTTGTACTTGCTTACTATGACCTGTAGTCACAGTGATCAATGTAGTAACTTTCTTGTAGCTTCTTTTCTAAAATAATTTCTGTAATCTAAATTACTAAAAATGGAGAAACTCAAGGACTTGTATATAATGCTAAAGGACTTGTCCCTTTGGCTTCTGTCTTTTTGAGTTCAGAAGCCTTCACATATTATTAATTCTTAAACCAATAATAAGCTTTAACAAATTATTATTAGACAATATAAAATATATATACTTTTTATTAGAATTTGATGCTTGAACCTTGTAGAATGATATTTTAATAATACTGGCTAGAGCTGAATTGCTTCTACCAAACCACTCTTACTATCCCATATAGTTTCACCATCTTCCACCTCCTTGTCTCCTTTATTACCAACTATCTTCTCTACTTCCAGTATTGAAGTATCCTCTTTGAGGCTAGCTTCTTTCTTGACTACTAATTCTTCTTCTTGATTGAGTATAGTAGCTGTTTCCTCTTTCTCTATATTCTCTTAACTGATCAGTTGTCTTGAGGCCTGCTGTGTTTTAGCCCACCTTTTCCGTCTCCAAACAGCTCGCCAACACAGCTTCCCCATACTTTGGTTTTCATTGATTTAACTTTCTTTTCAATTCTAATGATAATATAATACTATGGTTAACTATCCCTTCTTGTATAAATTTCTGACATTGGAGAATTGATTTACTGGGTAACAGAACTTCTGGAAATGCTGATTCCTCTAAGCCTGTATTTGATATATTCATAGCCTGACTTGGAAATACTAGTAGTAATAAGATATCTTTTTAGCTCAGCTGGCATTTTGACTTGCTGCACAGCTTTGCCATTTTCTTTCACTAAGTCTACCCATTCTGGTATTTGATTTGTGATACTTGATTGCTGTCTGTTTTTGGTAGCTTTAGTTTGGGATTGCTTCTTCTGTGATATCTACATGATAGCATGAAAATGTCGCTTAGTCAACTTTTTTATGTTGCATCCCACTTCCACACCTTCTAGTCTCACACCTAAACCTGGCCTTTTAAAAGCTTAATTCCTATTCTTTTCAAGACTTCTAATATTGAAAAAAAATCATACTTCTTTTCTTCTTTAGTTTGAGAATATTTGTACGATTTTTCTATGTACTTTAGACCAGTATCGGACATGAAATTCAGGGTTCAAAACTACCTTCAATGAGGTTGACACTTATCCATTCCTGAACCATACATCAAACCAAATGAGGCTAAGGTTGAATACCATGGTTTAGGGTTAGGCACCGGCTCTGAAGCGCGGCCACACCATTGCGCACGGACCACGAGCTTACTCCAACTCCGTCTCAACTTCAATAATAAACCATTCCTCGGCTAGCCAACACACCACATTCACCTGCAAGACACACTTCCTCCCCACCAATCTACTACACATCACACTCTCTCCGATTGTTCTGAGGATTTATCACAAAATGCGAAGATCAACGAGGAATAGTGCTTCGGGCCCCCTACAATCGCTCCCTTATCCCGGCGACCTAAAGCGTAAGAGTCGCCCAGTAACCGAAGAAGAAAGTGTCCCGGTCGCAGAAGAGGAGGATGCTGCCACTGGCCATACAGAATTCGGTGAGTGAGAAGCCGCCACGCAAGAAATCGGGGAGTTTAACATTCCAGTAGTCAACCGCCAGGACAGCAAATCATCATCAGTACCCCTCTCAAGACCACGCAAACGTGCGCGCGCGTCTACGCTAGAGGTTCCAGGCGACGATGTCGTAGAAACCGCCAGCACCAGAAAAGCCACCAAACTTGTTACGAGGCTGGATGAGACGAGGTCGCCTGCCGGTGCTCCCGCATCCCGAAGAAGCACACGAAAAAGCCTGCTAGGAGATAACGTTGCTGGTGGAGCGCAAAAAGCAGCGGGGAAGCCCCGTTTGGGTGTCCGGGCCAACAAAAACCGTTCAAGTCTCGCTATGACGGAGGCCAGGGAGGAGGGATTGGCGGAAGAAACTGAACGAAGAATTGAAGAGGGGATCCCTAGCGAAGACGAGGAAGGAGGGGGCGCACGCCTGTCGGCTTCGCATGACCCTCTCCAATTAAAGGAAAAACAGCCCGCCAATAGACGTACTACTCTCCCGCCCCTGAGAACAGAGCAGGCCCCCTCTGGTTCTGAAGGCGTGGATGGTGATCCTTTGCTATCTAATGGGTCACAAGAGAGTCCTGGAGATGTAGTGGAAGAGCTCATGAATAGTGTTGTTACTGGCACAATTACCCAGATAGATGAGACTGAAGAGCAGGAAGCAGAAGACTTAGAATCCGAAGGCAGTGATGTCGGGTTTGGTTCTGGCGACAATGAGGATGTGGATGAAGCAATCAGACATCAGCTCTCCACGGAGGCTGATAGCAGGGCAAACAATGAGGTTAAGGTCCAGCCGCAGTCTGTGACTAGTGGAGCGGACGATTCCCAGTGCGAAGAATCCCTAGTTACCGCTTTCAAGGCAAAACTCAATAGGTCCCGTGAGGTGCTGCAGACCTTCAACGAGCAGCTCAAAGCGGCTACGGATACTGTTGACCTGCTGATGGAGCTTCGAACTGGCATTGATTGTCACTCTGGGTATACCCGCATTCTGCAGGCGATCATTGGCAAGTTGGGCGAAGAGGAGTACCCCGACAATAGCACATTAGAGGAACTTGCAGATTTCGCTTTGAACATTAACACCATAGTTTCTGAAACCAGAGATGCTCACAGGAATGTCAAAGCTCTTCTTGAAGAACTGGATGTTGGAATTGTATCTGGCACATCGAGTGCCCGGACGATTGAAACTATGTTGGAGCAAAAGGGATTCAAGGAGAAGGAACCACCCGATGGCATCAATTGGGGGCGCATCAATAGGAACCTGGTAGTGCAAGAAAACGAGGTTCTTATCTTCGCAAAAACGAAACCTACAGATTCCCAGACACCGAGGAGAAGCGCCCGCTCAAATCCGTCCAGGTACCGCACCCAAGGGGCTCCCCCAACCCCCGAAGCGAGACCGCCTCCGCCCCCTCCCGCAATCCCATCGCCCCACAGCCCACTCTCAGACCCGGAGCCCCTTGAATCTACAGCTCCGGTGATCGGCGACGATGCTCCAGTTGAGGTCGTCCGTATAGAAAGCTTCGGGAGCAGACCGTCTCACACCCCTCGCCGATCGAAACGTCGTCACGAAACCGAGGATGACGACTCACCGCAAGTTCGCGAGGACCGGGCTTGGTCTAGCCCGGAACTAAAAGCACTCTTCCGACGCCTTGCACAGGTCCAGAAAGCTGGTATGTTACCCTACCCCCATATAGACTCGCCGCACTAACATCCATCTAGAACCCGGTAAGATCATCGTCTTGGATTCCCGCAGTGGGTACCCCCGCACCAAGGAGGAGATCCTCACCAAAGCTAAAGAAATTAAGGAGGATATGGTGAGGTCCGGGAGAGCCGGCTCTTTGAAACCCACCTGGGATGATATCTAGGCCAACTTTACCCTGTTATCCTTTTTCCCCTTTTTATTTTTCGTTTCTAACTATAAAAACTAATGCCTTGTACTTTTCTGTCTGATAATAACGTCCTTGCGGCATGGCAGAGGCGTTCTGTGTACTATACCCTCATGTATTGCTACTGCCCTCAGGCGGGGCCCCCTTTATGGCGTAAAAAAGCGCGTCTAGCAGTATGATAAATTGATAATGGGTGCTGTAGCTACTTGTGGTGTATCTTCCTGTTTAATGACTTTCTTTCATCTTGTCCGAACTCCCCTACTCTAATAAGTGCGGCGGGTCTATACATTGCCCCGGGAAACGCGATTTGTGGGGTGAGCTACATAAGCTCAACATCACAGGTAGACACACAATGGAAATAAAAGCTTTGTGTTTGTTGGAATGTTCATCGCGTGTGGCCGACCCATCGGCCTTTGACTCCCGGAGCGGCCGGTGGTGTGAGATCATGCTGAGACGAAGTTATCGGGCACCGTACCTGCCTACCTCAGCCCATCTGCTATGGGTGAGATGAGATCTTCGTCCCAGGGTCCCGGCTTGCCGCCTGCTCTAAAACCTGCCGATCTGGGTATCTGCATGTACCGATACTATACCGGCCAACGAATAACCCCTCTCTCGGCGCCCCATCGCTGTTTGGATGCAGGTAACGTGTAGAGTTTTTCATTGGCAATCTTAACGCATGGAATAATCCTGGGGATCTGGATTCCAAGCTACTTAGCGGGCTCCTACGGGTAGCTGGTTGTCCACCCGATCACAAACTAGAAGCCTTGGAACGCGGTGGGGGGGTGTGGTACCGGTCGACGCGCCAGTGGTAATTAGTCTCCGGGGACTGGAGCATTTATTATCCGGCCCGGGACATATCGATATAATTCGTACCCTGGGTATGTATATTGTATTCAGGTTGCCCCGGTTGTCCAGAATACTACGGCACAGCATTGAAACACCATATGATAAGGCAATCTATATCTAGGCACAACCTTTGCTTTTTGGGCATCAGAATGATGATTGTGTCTAACTCGCTGTCGCTGAATCCTTCTCCTGTTCCCTACAAGGCCGGAAATGGACAGGGCCTCCCGCTACGAGATCCTCGGAATCTTGAAGCGACTCTCAAACTTAGAAATTTGTTACTCTTTTTGTCGTAACGTAGAGACCCAACCTTCATTCATTAAAATACTTAAGGAAAAAGCGACAGATATTTGTAAGGAAAAACGAAAACATCACATCTAGTTATCACATCCCCGCTCAAATCCTCCCTCCCCCAATATTACCGAAACCCTTCAGCCCCAAAACATATCCACTCCACCACTACAGCCCATCCACTAAACAAAACTACTTCACCGTCTTTCCCAACTACTCTCCTACCTCCTCTTACCAACTGCTCACTGCTTTTGTCCCCAACAAGATCTGGCAACTATTACAGCTTTCACTCCTCTCGCCCTTTTCAAAACACTGCTGGCAAATCCCATGCCCGCACCCCAAGATGATATCCCCCTTCCTCTCCAGGCAGTCGGGGCAGCGCCTCATGTACTTTCCCGTATCATCAGCCCTCTCGGCGGCGACGGGCGAGTCGCGGGGGATTTCCCAGGTTTTTGGGCCGGGTATTTTGAACGATTCGTCTTCGTCCTGGGAGGGGGAGGTAAGGATTGGGTCAGGGCTGCGGGGGTGGGTGGGGGGTGCTCGCTGTCGGGATACCCGCTGTCGGGATACCCGCGGTCGAGGTGTCCGGGGCGTTCGGGGTGTTGAGGGTGCTGAGGGTGCTGAGGGTGCTGAGGGTGCTGAGGGTGCTGGTGGTGCTGGTGGTGCTGGTGGTGCTGGTGGTGCTGAGGGTGCTAAGGGTGTTGAGGGTGCTGGGGGTGCTGGGGGTGCTGGGGGCGTTGAGGGTGCTGGGGGCGTTGAGGGCGCTGGGGGCGTTGAGGGTGCTGGGGTTTTGGCGATGAGGTCAGTCCCAGTTCTGAGGGGTACGGTATTTTCAGGGATTTTCCTTCTAACAGCGGGGGAAGGAGGGGGGGAGGATTTGTCGTTCGGGGGTTTGGCGCAGCTGCATATGAGGCACTTAACACACTTGAGCATTGCCGAGCAGGTGTTGTGGCGATATTAGTATTTGTTAAAACGGAGGAGTAGTGAGGTTTCGTTAGTAAATAGACTTATCTTATATCCGAAGTTCGTCCAAACCACTTGAGAATCTCTAATAGATATGCTAGCTGATTTGAAAGTTGGTGACTTGAAAAGAGGGGAATTGCGCGCTGCAGAAATTCTGAAGGTGAGATGGTCCTGCTCTTCTTGAGCTTTCTGGAATTGTGATTGGAGAGAATGGGATCGGTGCTCTGAGAATCCTATTGGCAAATGTGGTCATAGTTTATCACTCGGCTCGTTAAATCCTTTCAAGGGTGGTATACATCCAGACGCTTCGCTCTGGGACACGGGGGAGGGTGGGCGCAACCGGGCGCGAAATAGGAGTTTGAAACAGGGTGAATGCAAAAAATGGCTTCCGCCTTGGATACTCCAACAACAAGATAAATGTGCCGGGGTATTGGAGTTGCCCTTCTGGGCCCCGCTAAGAGAAAATACCGCAAACCGAACCACCACCCGAGGCAAGATAAAAGGGATAGTATGCACCCATGGCCTTGTCGATAGAAGCAACTACAGCGCCCCCGCAGCGCATTTACCTTTAGTTCGCCCACTTGTGCTAGGTTGGCGGGCACTTGAGGTGCTTGGGTGAGAAGGAGAGGCAAATGTTTGGGGGAAGAAGGGGGGAGGCCAAGTAAGGTTACTTACTACACCAATTATGACTGCGCAGCAGGCCATAACCTTTTCCCTCCGTTAGGAATGCCGGACAGCGGTGCGATGTATGGTGTGTTCAAGGTATCATACTGTGTACAAGTTCGAATGATACCTGACTATTTGCAATATTGTAGTCGTACCATACATCCCCTATCCTCTTATTCCCGTCCCTCGTCCCCCCACACTATCCGGTTCTCCCTCCTCCTCTCCCTCTCCTCGCTCTACCTCCCTTCCGCCTTGGTGGCTAAGATTCTTGTTGGGGTAAGTGTAAGGGCGTGCGGGATAGATTAGATTAGATTTGCGATCAAATTCTCAGACAGAGCGTTTAGTCATCGTAGTGGTAGAGAAGAAAGAAAGGGAAGGAAAAAGATCGGTAGATCCTCACTTATCTCACCCGTGGGTCTGGCTGTCTTATCCATTCTACTTCCGTGATGTTCTGAGCAACTACCTAATTGATTGTGTGTGGCACCGGTGGGCTTGGGCGACCAAGGGATGATATTTCAAGACGTAATGTAACAGCCTCTATCCTTTGGAAAGACATCAGTCTAAGGCGACGGGAGAGACCCCCAGTCCTTTGGTCCTTAGTAGCTCTTACCACCGATTCGAGTCCCCTGTAATCCCACCTATCACCAAAAGGGAACAACACGGGTATCATAGATTTTGCAATTTGGGACATCTGCTGTGCCCATTTCGACTGACCAACCGAAATCTTGGGCATTCTAGATATAAACATAACCCGGCTAGGCTCTTCAGCACTAGGCTAGGATAGCCCCTTAGGATCAACAGTGGGATGTATTCGAAAGTCCAAAGTTGAGACTATTCCTCTGCTTGAGTAGGGGTCCGAAGTTCCCGCGATTTTCGTTATCTTATTCCCCAAATAGCACGGAATCTTGGGTAGCTTACAGTCCGGAACATGCAGTACTAACCCACTTGAGCTTCCATAGCTAAGTTCACACCGCTCGTTCCTCACGCCTTCCATCGAGGACCGAAGATGCCTTATTCAAAAGCAGCGACATGCCAGGGCAGATTTATTTCTAATAGTTCTTGTTAGAAGTCGCCCAATGCGGCCAAAAGTTTTTTGGTACCAGAAGGAGGATATGAGGAGTGGGGATGACATCATGGATTGGATTGCGTAATTGGATTTTGTCCGCTGCGCTATGTAGCCTATGTCTGTTAGGTGAAATGAATCAGCAAAGATGGTTCTATCCGCTTCTCACCCGCTCATCCTTTTAGATAATTATTCTTCTTCCTTCTTTTCTCCACGATAAGAATAATAGTTCTCATTGTCCTCTTGATCAATAAAACTTGAATTGCATGAACTCCAACACTTCTATTCCCATCTTTGTTATAATTTAACCCAGTTATAACACTATCAAACTATGTATCTAGCTTAACCTGACTACAATGCTAGATAAACCAAATATCCTGACCTCAACTTCAAGAATTACCATGGACAAATGTAATTCAGTTCATATAATCAGAGGAAACAGGTTATACGGATCGAATCACCTCCATCTCTATCCCAACCCCCTCCTGTTTTTGTCTCTGCCATTAATCCCACGACCTCCACCTAAATCTCCCTGCGACAGAGTGGACAAACCGGCCGATCCGAAACCAGAGAAATCTGCTCATAACACCACCTACAAAGCGCATGTCCACATGGGAAAGAGTACTCAACAACATAGTCAGGTTGAAACAAAACAGGACATCTGGAATCTTCGCTCATTCCCTCGAACCAAGATGCTGGAGGCTCCTCCGTCAGTCTCGCTAAAGGGACCAGTGGTGGAGGAGGGGGGAGGTCCGTTCTTGGGGCGTGAGGGATGAGGTTTATGTCTATCTCTCCAGCAGCATTGCGGAAGGTTGGGGCTCTAGTGGTTGACCATACAGATTGGTGGACCACACGTGTTCGGCCGGGAATAGTGAATGAGCGGGTAGCACTCGCAGGGGTAATATTGCCGGGGAGCCTTGGGAGTGGGAGGTGCCGGTCGCCATCATTCTGGTCTGACAGCACGTCCCGGGCTTGGGCTCTGGTCTGGGCCATGCCATCATGGCGCCCCTGAGCTCCAGTGATGGCTCCAGCAACAAGGCCAATGCTAGTGGTGGCAAAGGTCTCAGGAAGGAGTGCGAGGAACTAGAATGGTTTAATATCAACTGCAGAGAGATATCCGCCGCTGGATCTATTATACATACCATAGACGGATCCATTGGCCCATAACGGGCATCTTCTTCATAATATTCCTCTCCCTCGTACCACATCACCTGAAGATCTCCACTCTCATCCTCGTTTTGCAAGTGTAGATTCTCCTGGAAGTCCGAATGGATATTCGATGCCCTAGCAGTACTAATAGGCCCAGGCTCCTCATAAATAATAGGCCCAGGCTCCTCATAAATAATAGGCTCAGGCTCCTCATAAATAATAGGCCCAGGCTCCTCATAAATAATAGGCTCAGGCTCCTCATAAATAATAGGCGCCAACATATTCTCAACTAACTGGCCATCCTCCTCAACTCTCGAAGGCCCGGTTCCAATGACTCCGGGAATTCCCTCCCCTGGGGTTGAGGGGCTGTCAGCTAAACTCTTCCTTGAGTATTACGAATACTAGTATGGGTTATACCTTGGGTTGGGGAATGAGCAGTGAGCTCCTGATTAGCCTCCGGTTCTCTGTCATATAACAAGCTAGGGCCACTAGCAGTAGCGGAAGACAGACCGGGGGCGTATTGAGCCGGGTCGACCTCGCTTGCTGGCGGCACACCGATTTCGCTATTTGGATGCTGGATGATGGGCATGACATGAGATACGTAAGGCGTAATTATGAACTCAGATTGGTGAACCACTACACAGGTTTTGTGTTTTGGGTCAGCTGCTAGGTATGATAAGAGCTCTGGAGCGGACCATCCCAACACAAGAGCTTATCCCAAACCTTCACAAGCCTCTTGTTTCAACTCTCTCAGTAACAATAGAATGACAGACAAGAAGGAATGAAAAAAATGAAAAAACAGTATAAGCACATTGAATTCAACACGCCATAGAAAGCTTCCCCTAGTAAATTTAGTACATATGAGAAAATCTGATTTTCCCATGACGATTGAGCACTTCATATCAGCACAGTCTCTCTACGGAACCGGAAGTCAAACCGAGGCAGACTTGAAAGTCTCGAAGCAGCTACAAATATAGCTCCTAATATCATACCACCACCCCGAACAAAAATTCATATTGTCAAACCCATCCGTGAGTAAACAGTTCAGGATAGAGACCTTTCTGCATACATGCTCGGCCCAGCACAGGGGCTCCTCACTGTATTCGGCAAAAAAAAAAGGCCCCTCCGTGTCCACTACTTATACCCAAATTCTGCTTAGGTCAAGTAGATTGCACTTGCTTCTTGCTGCCTCATAAGCGCTGCTGAAGACACAGGGTCCAACGGACATTTGATATACGAGGGGCGACTATCAACAGAACCTTCCTGTGATATCATTACTCCTACCCGAGGATAGCTATCATCGCGCCCCAGCAGGGAGAGTATGATATGTGCCATCTATATAGTGAAGAACGTCAAATAGTGAAACTCGCGATTTATAAATGATAGGAAGTGGAATGGTAGTGGGACCAAGGTCAAAGCAGAATAGAGCTCCTGAACAGAATAAAAGGGCGCCCCATAGAACGTTGGGATCCCCCTTTCCTAGCTAGGGTGAGGAGGAAACACCACAAACCCAGACGCCAGTTGAGAGAAAACTAAAATAATACGCATAAGCCCTTACCGGAAGAGGCAAGTAGAACGCCCTGGCACATTTCCCCTTCCACTCGAGTTTTTCAAGGTATGATAAAGCACCGAGTGACAAGCCATGCCTCCAGTAGTACTCGCACCGAATCACAAAACCTCTACTTGTACCATACCAGCACTGTAAAATCCCTCAATAAACCGTGCAAAACGCACTTCTTCAACGCCCGCCGTATGATATCTGACATCATACTCCACCCACATCCCAAATCCCTGCCGGTCTGTGTAGAAACAAGCACTAGTGTACACATCCCTCACAAGAACAGAAAACACTTTTTTTTTAAAAAAAAAACAATACCGTAACTTACGTACCACAAGTATCATACCCGGGGAGATGTTTTCGAGCAAGAGAGGGATAGCTTCCCACAGGAATAATCCCCATCTTGCACGAAAACATCCCCTATGGGCCCTGCACCCGTATTGGTACTTGCCATATCCCCTACCTCCCCCCCCCCTCCCCAAAGCAGCATCAAAAAGCCAACCGTTGTTTGGCACTGTACATAGCACGAGAATCTAGTGCTGTGGAAGCACGGCACATATCACATTTGACATCCCGTACCACCAACTAACACTTCCTCGACCTTCCCCCTACGCCCACACACACACACACACACACACGTGAGACGCAATAATAACCTCCCGATAAGCTAGGCAAAATATTGTCGAGTACCGTGTACGAGAGCTAGTACTGGTGGTACAAGCACGGTACCGGTAGCACGGAGGCAGGTGGCCATAATTACTATTACCTGCAGAAAAAGCGCTGGTAGCCCTATGTGATAGGTGTCGATTCCATCTCTTCTGTAGCTTAACTTGATGCGTTATTTACCTCCTACAGATAGGAAAAAAATAACGAATAGCTGCATGCCAATTTATAGATAACCCCGGTTATTTAATTGGGATATTCAGATATGGTGTTTTGAATACATCGTTGGTCCCCCTCCACTCCTCCCCCCCCGAAGCCCCTCTTGACGATATCCCGGAGTAATACTCCCCAACAATTGCCTTTGTCCTCGGTCGTTCGCCTTGATGTACAGCCATTTCAAGAATTGGGAGAAAGAAATGAAGGGTAGAAGAAAAAAAAAAATTCATATAAATACAGCGACTGTCACCATTATTATTCCGTTGTTGATTTATACAGTATCGTCGTGACGTACTATCGAAGAAGAAAAGAAAGACAATTAGGTCCTGCTGAATAATAGAAGGGGAAATTTTTGGGCGGACGAGGGGGTTGGGGGAATACCTTCTTCCGATATCGCGTGGTAGCGCTAACCGCCAAAACCTGATTCTTGATAGAACTGGTAGCCAAGTGGTTTAAAACCACATGATTCGGTATCCCAAGCACACTCGCGTCATCCTTCATAGCAGAACTAGTATTGAGGATAACCTTCTGCAACATCATCGGTAGACTAGGCGGCGCTGGAATATCCCCATCTTCATTCCCAATCCTGTGACCATCTTCCCCGCCATCTTCAAGATCGCAGAGGTAGGCGGGTATCTCATTCGTGTATCGCTTCTTCTTCTTTGACAAATTCGAGAGGAGATTTGCCGACGCGTGAGGGTGATGCGTGGAGCCTGACGGCGATGGCGGAGAGTGTTGGCGGTCGAGTGGGGGCATGTCGTCGGCGTTTACTTCAATGTAGTTCACTAGGATTCCCGTATCGTCTACTGCTGTCGAAAGGTTGTCTGATGTTCGCATCTCCCCATCAACGAAGAATTTCAGGTGGTGGGTGCCCGGTGGGAGAGGTACGATGGCTGACAGTGTCTCGTCGTCTGGGCTGTGTATGATCACTTTAGCATTGAGGTGTAGGGCGGAGCGGAGAGGGATGGAGGGGACAAACCTTCTGTTCAATTTAAACCTCTTCCGCCAATTGGAAAATGTGCCCGTAACATATACTTTGTGACCGCCCTGCAGCCATTGGACGAGTGTGGGTATTGTTCTCGTATCGGCAACGTCTACCTCTTCTTCGTCAATGGTGGTGGTCGATCCCATGCTCCCTCTTTTGGTCAAAGGATCGGCATGCGGTCCGGCGGACAGTGGGGTGCCTTCTCGAGAAGGGAGATCCTCCCCAGTCGCAGTGGGAGTGCTGCTTGCCGTCTGCAATTTTTGAAGGGTCGGAGAACTCAACGCGTCGTCATCGTCAAAGCCAGGGGTAGGGCGGGGAGCAGTATGACTGATGGTCCATGGTACGGACGAGATTGCCTCCGCAATGCTCTCGCGCCGTCCCTGGGGCATATAGCGCGCCTCGGTAGCGCTCGCAGGCTCATTGTGGGGGCGTATGGGAAGGGTGAGAGGGTCTTCCGGGGGTACAGAGGCCGAAGTGCTGGTGTGCTTCGATGGTGCCGGCTGAAGACTATTCCGGCGGTTGATTATTGTCCGAGATGAAGAGGTTGATGCGGCACGGGCGGGGACATTTGCTATCGGGGGTGAGGTAGGGGTGGAGTGCTGCTGGCTGAGGTGATGATGTCGGTGGTGGTGCTGCTGTTGCTGCGGCTGGGCAGATGCTCGGGAGGGGTTATTCCCCATGGTTGCGAATAGCCGGGTTCTTCACAAATTATGTGGGCACGCGTGTAGGGAGGAAGATAATTCCGGTAATAATAATGATAATAATAATAGGGTGAATAGGAGTGATGGTGGTGGTGGGAGCAGTGGGCCTGTTGGTCTTTCCGGTGTGTGAGTGGGTGCGTGGGTGCACTGGATGGAGGGAATAATGAATGTGGGGAGGTAACCTGATAGGAAGGGGAGGGGGGGGGGTCTAGGGTGTAACGTGAGTGTCTGTCCGGTGGCGATGATGGAAATTACCGTACAGTACAGTACGAGTACTGTACCGTTTGTCAACCCACTGTAGGTATGATACTGTACACTGTACAGTACGATAGCTGTTCGACTACTGCAGGGTGGCCCCTCCTTCCCTCTCCTTCCCCCTTTCCTCTCCTTCTCCTCCCCCTCTCTCACCCTCTCCTGACTACGGCACCCGAGCACAGCTCAACACTCCTCGCCTACTGTTAGTATCTTCTCGCACCGGGTGCAGCGAGAGAGACACAAATCAATTAACGCACTGCTGGGGAACAGCTGGAAGGCGAATGCCGGAACCCGCAGGGGGTGGGGATGAAAAGGGGCCGCAAGATCGGGGGAGAGAAACAATACAGGAGGATCGGAGACGGATTATCCCTGAGGGAGAACTGAGCGAGATATCACAACAGGCGTTTGACCATAATGATATCTTGGGCAGATATCACAAAATGCGATTGTCGTTCATTCGTTTGTAAAAGGGGGAGAGGGAGAGAGGGAGGAAGAAAAGGACTTGGGTGTGAGATGGTTCAACCCTTCCCCCTCTCACAATCGTCATAGGCAGAGCAATCGACCTCTTGGATGTAGGATTCCTTGGCGATTACCGGTCGTCCATCCAACTCTCATCATCCACAACTCACCTCCCCGCTCTTACTTGTACATCTCCCCTCACTACTATACCACCGCGAACCGGCGAAAACCTTCCCTCTCTAACGAGATTGTCCACAGCCTCAGAAAAAAAGAACTGGACGAGGGAAAAAAAGACATTCAGGCAATTTAATGTGCTCAACATGTGCATCACTCGGTATATCATATCTAATATTTGTTCCTACATGCTTTCTACCCCTAATAATAACTGGCACGTTATCCCGGGCGGCCATGTTTTTCGCTTAATTGAAAACAACCGTTGAGACATTTCGTCACCTTCCCGGCCTTTCGTTTCTCCAGCCCCGCTGCTTAGTCATGCATCACCATTTCTCACTCGTAGCCCCCTATCATCCTCACTGCTGATGTCTATGCTCGGGATGGTATCATAGGGAAATTGCGGTGAAAACATTCCACAGCCAGTCTTCACCCCTCAGACCATTTTTCATACAGATACTAAGCTCCGTAGCATACAGACTTTGATTCGGCTCTACAAAGTCCCCCACACCACGCCCTTCAAGTCGTAGCTGTCCTACAAATTGCTTGCTCCATCATTTGTTAGTTAAATTGACCAGCTTTCTCACACGATAGCCTTTTTATGACATTCTAGTGAATGATTGGGGCAGGATATAATTTGAGGAGGCAACAAGCATTAGAAGTATGCGATGTCTAGTTGCCTCCTACCTTCCCCCGTTATGGTAGGGTGCAAACCCCCCAGTCGCTCACCAGAAGATATCTGGAAGCAAAAAACCGGGAATACGAAATGATGCAAGAGAAACCGTTCGTGATTTTACATATAAATAACCTTGTGTAGAATACAATCGCTCGTGTTAGGTGTTTTGTTGAAACGCCAATATGGTGGATGGGCTCGCTGGCTTTTAGAGTGATTCTTGTTTGTACTGTTAGAATCCCTAACCGGAGAGTCCACCAGCTGTTAGCAACCAACGAGTGATACACTGTGAACCAAGTCGTGTATGCTCTCCTCCGATGAGGGTTTTGTTCCAGGGCGCCTAGGGATTGTTGGTGTCTGTATGACAAGATGGCCGGGGCATAGGTGTTTTCGTGGGTGGTAGGTTGGTGCCCTGAATGTGGCTCTGAAGGACTTGGATTTTTTTATTATTTTTATCTCAGTAGCCCTTAGTTGAAGCTCCTGCCTTCTTTTTCTCTATAAAGGGTCTACTCGCACCTGCCTTCTTTCCCCCTTCTACATCTCACTCTTACCACAGCTACCACACCCCTCTCCTCCTAGTCAGTTCACAAGCAAACTACGTCAAATATCCAAAAACTCCTCCTCCTCCGCCTCCTGTTCAAACAACCTCAACAAAACCCTTTCAGAGAAATCTAAAATGAAGTCATTCGTCTTCGCTCTCGTCGTTTTCCTCCTCTCTGCCGTCGCCCCCGCCGTCGCTGGTCCCGTCGGAGTCCCCAGCAACTGGATGGAGCAACCAAAAGATCTCACAGACCTCTCCCAATTCCCTGACCATCTCTTCGAAGTTACTGGGCGCCCTGTTCCCGCCGATGTCATCCAGGCTTACGGTCTCGAATTCACTCCAGACAACACCACAGGAGCGGCAATCTTCGGAAACGACAACCCAAACGCCGAGTGGACCACAAAGTGCGAGACAACTGATGGCAGTCCTAACAGGTGGCACGTGGAGGTCGCTAACAATTGGCTTCGCCAAAGGGGGCTACGGCAGTGCCTCCAATTCCGGAGCGGAGGGTCCTCTTGTACGGAATTGATCGGGTTCTTGACTGCGAGGATCGGTATCTGCGCGGAATACCATTACTGGTTGTGGTGTGATTCGGCTGCTGGGTTCACCCAAAGTATTTTGGATCAATGCCGGAACTGGTTGGGGGGAGATGACCGCGTTGGCGGGTATACTATCATTCGGGGCTGGCCTGGAAGCCCGGGTTTTAGAGGGATGGTTGTTTATTAGAGGAACGTGACTGGGTGGTACGGGTTTCCGTAGTGGTCTGCGGTGGTTTTATTAAATTTCTTTTTATGTAACCTTTCCGCATTCCTATTACCGGTAGCACTATTCAAGTATACCTACCTACCTGACCCCTAGAGGTGATCACGAGAACTCGTCGTAAGGTAATATGTGGTACCGTTGTGCGCGTCCTATTCCTTTGCCCACGATCAACCCGGAAAAAAGGCCTTTGCTCTTCAGACCCCTCAACCCCTCTTCCATTAGACACCCGAGACAAGTTTCCTGCCGAACCCAACCACTGATAAAGACTCTCACAATCCCATATTTATCGGCCAATAAGGCTTACTCCTTCAGAGATGCGCTTTCCACGTAACTACCTGCGGGTCGATCTCACCAAACTTTTCCGTGAAGATTCGGACAGTTCGGGACACTCTGAGGATGGAGAGGAGATTGTGCGTTCAAGAGAGTGGAGGCCGGGGAAGGAAAACATCCAAAATGGGTATCACCCAAAAAAGGAGAATATCGATCCGTGGGGAGGGATGTTTCCTCAAGCCAAAAGCCTCCCAACCCAAGAGCTCAAATCGGTACCCTTGGGCAAGTTCGTTCGCGATGCCCCAAATGTTGAAAACAAGTTTCAAGCGAAGACCTCTACTAGGGAAAAGGACAAGGAGAAAACTTATCGGATTCAAACTATTGGAGAGGTTTACGCTCTACAGAAACGCGAGGGTAAAGAGTTGCCCACATTCAGGGGAATCAAGGAAAGTCGATCCAGGAATAGTCTGGCTAAACGTTTAACTTTGCGAAAGATCAATGAACCCCTCCTCATGGGTACAGGTTACGCCTCTTACAAGAGCAGAAGTTCCGCCAGGAGTAAAGGGTGGCAGTGGGGTTGGAGTAACGACTTTGCACATGGATATAAAGACTCCAGTGAGGACGACGCTTATGCTACCTGGTTTCCCGAAAGAGATCACGACGATCCGATCCAAGCGGAATGCGGACTTATGAATTCGACGATGGCTTCAGCAAGGGCCTCTGCTCAACTTCGTCCACCTGATTTGAGAAATGGGCAGTCGTTGCCAACAAGAAACGCCCTACCTCACCAATGGAACCAGACAGCCAGAGAATATTCTCATATCCACAGAACCCACCCAGCACTCCTTGAAAGTGAGTTGGAAGCTCCACCAGCGCCTCCCGCTGACGCTGCTACCCTTCATAGTGAGATGTATCCATCTCTTTATGGAGGATACGGCTTTCCTTACGAAGGCCCGTTCTATAATCCGATTGTGGCACCTCCTCCATTTCCTTATCTAGTGGCACCTCCTTATCCAATCGGGCCAATATTTCCTATCGCGTTTCCGTACCCTGTGCCATTCCCCGTCGAGGTCAAAAGCTCCACGCCTCCCGGACCTGCCCCAGACTCAGACGGACAGCAATTGCAGATGGCAACTAACGGGAACACTTTACCCGAGGCTAACGGGAAGCTGAACGGGCCTCAGTATCTTGACCCCGAAGCAATCCCGTGGATGCCGGGAAGCACTCCATTTACATCGAACATGCCTATTTCAGTTATCAAAAAGGCACGCTCACCGGACTTTTACCTCCTGCAGGGCTTGGAATACGTTTCCTTGAGAGAGAGCGAAGAAAAGAAACGAGAGAAGTCCGAAAGCGATCCACCAAAGAGAGTCGAGAGCAACGCCTTCAATGGGTGTAGAGAAATCTCGGCAGCTGAATATGCGGGGCTTCTGGTGCACAACATGACGGAAGAAACGAACCCACTCTTGACAAAGTACTTGAACCCCAGAAAAAATCGTCTTCACGAAACGCGACGCTATGTCAGCATGCCGGATGGCTGGGGCTCGCAGGGGAAGCGGCCCGAGGAGATAGGGAACCGCCGTCAGTCGTGGAGTCATCCGGGGTGCTTGGTGACTGATTCCCTGGACTGAGTGGATCGGGAATTTGTAGGATGCTTGTTATAAAGAGGATGGTAGCGGAGTATCGTTCGGGACTCTCCATGACTGGTGGATTTACTCATAGTGCTATACATTCTTGTATTGTTTTTGGTGGATAACGTATTCTTATCTCTATGATACCGGACTTTTGCTGCCGTTTTTAAAGTCACATAAGGGAGTTCCTGTTTGCGGCGGGTCGGGGAGATGGAGGGAAGATAGCTTTGTAACCTTTTTAGCGAAAAAGTTGACTATAGAGATTGTAACCGACATGGAGAGCCCGAGGGGGGGTTTTCTTGGGCAGCAATAGAACAGATATGCGACGATGGTCAAGGTGAAAAAAGATGGGCAGGATGAAGTTATTTGGAAGCAATCACACTCCGTTATAGGGGAAAAGATGTGTCAGTATTCAAACTACAGGTGATTTTCAGTATCTTACCTCGCCGTCACCGGAACCATCAGCCAAATATCATACCTCTCCCCCACCAAGCCCAATAGGCCATCCACACACAATTTACTTTTTGCCAATCCTCCCCCCCTTCTTCCTTCCCCCCTTCCTCAAACTCGGGAAAACAACTGCATGCTTGGAAGTCCGCCGCCTCTCGGCCCTCGCGGCGGAAGCCTTCTTCTTCATCTTCTTCAAGGACCCCGCACTCTTCTCCTTATCTCCTTCCCCCTCAAGCTCCATTCGCTCCCCTTCCTCCTCCTCCGGCGCAGCTACTACACCACCCCATCAGCAAACAGCAGGCACACACCGAGCGGAGGGAACACACCATCACCGTTCCCCTGCTCCTCCCCCTCAACCTGCATCTTTGCCTCCTCTTGAGCTCTCGCGGCCGCTAGTAACCGCTCCGAAAGCCGCCGCACGCGCGCCGCGTCAGCCGGCGCGAATACGGTCGTGCGGAGGCGGGCGTTGTTTGCTTTTGTACGGCCTGTCTGGTGTCAGTTTTTATTTTTTTTCCCTTTGCCTTCTGACTGACCACTGGGGCGGAGAGGAAGGGAGACGGACTTGCACGGGCAGATTTCGCCATTAGAGTTTTGTCTGTGGGGGTGGTAGTGGATTGGGTTGAATTGGGTTGGAGGGATGTTTTTTCTTTCTGGAGGTGAGATGAGGTGAGGTGTTGTTCGGATAAACTTTTTTTCTATTTTTTCCCTTTTCTTCTACTGTATTTTCTTTTTTGGTGGGAGAGGGAGGAATCGGCGGTGCGGGAGTGGGATGCCAAGGATGAATGGATGGGTTAGGGCTCTTTACTGTATCAGAGATGATGGTGATAGCTCGGCTTGGCGGTGGGTGCTGGTATATAGAGGGAGTGCAGGCGCCGGTATGGTAGATGATATGTTCGTAGTGTTGTATTAAATAAGTACTACAATGCCGGGTGTTGTGAAAACCCAATGCGATGGGCTTGTAGAGTGGAAGTATGGAGCTTGTGCAGGCAACCCGACGAAAATGTTGCACCGTCAAACATAGCATGATATGATACCATACCGGTAATTTACTCTGATGGGGAACACACCCTAGCCACAACTCCACCCTCTCTACTTGCGTGAAGTAGAATACTGGTACAAGGTGATCCCGAGGAGGGGCACCACCAACGGCGACCTCTCACGGCCCCACGGGTAGTCAGTCAAAACGTCCAAAGAATATGCTATCACACCCCAATCATTTCCTTTCCAAGGAAATCGATAGCAGGTATTCGACAGCGCAATGCTCCAAAACCCCATCAGGAGGGATGCCTTCACTCACCGTGCGAACTGGAAGATCACCGTCCGTCATATCATAACTATTTACACGATATCCGTCGAGGGGGTGGGTCGGGGGGAGAAGAAAAAGCCATGCACACCAGGCCATCCTACAGATAGATGGGAAGACCCGAAATCCCCAGTTCGAGAGAGTCTGCAAAGTTTCAGAGTTCCCGGCGGTATCATCCGCACCGGGAAGTATTATGGAACAAACAAAAAAGCCAGGTGAAGAGATGGCAGCCAACAAGACCCCAGGCTGCGATCCTGCCGCGCGAAGGCGGTCGGGTCGTTCTCGAAATGGGTTAAAGGTTTGATTGTAAACTCCACTTTCCGAGTGATTGCATTACCCCTGTGAGCTTCGGCAGCTGAATGATATGATAGTATGATATGATACTATGATATGATACCTCTATATGCCCATTTCCACGGGAACCTAGAGGTGGTATTGGGCCCGAATTACCGGATCCACCGGGCCCCTCTGATATTCTGATATGACAGCCCTAGCACTTCCTCCCCCACCATCCATCCATGGCTATAAGCAAAATTGTTCGTCAGTATTTATTTAGAATGTCTAGGCCGACCCCGTTCGGCCTAGACAGTAGCTTCATTGGCCCCTCACCCTGTTCTCTGCATTATTTGCAGTGAACTCTTGCGGCGTTAGAAATACCCGCTCAGGGTGTTATAATTGATATATATTCGTATTACAGTATGACAAGTTGATAGCTTCACTACACTCCCCCATGTCCCACTCAACGCAGCTTGCGGGAGCGCGGTCTGACAAGAATGCACCCGTTCGTTCGCACCAATGCTCCACTGCCCCCAACATCTTCCGCCGAGACCCCACCACCACCACTACACTCTAATAATTTCCTTTGCATCATAATAATAATATCATGTGATGATTCATTCTGGGATAAGACGGCACAACATATGATACCTCTTATCCCAGGCGGGTTTCAAGCACCCCGTATGATACCTACATTGAAGGAGGGTGATATAGCTTTCAGCCCTTTAACGAAATCTCCAAACAAACGCCGTATTGTCACTGACATCGCGTCCATAGCCATATCCGGGGGGGGGGGCCGAGTGGAGATGAAATAGATATTTTACGACTTCGGGTCCATCGCCAGCGACTAAGTAAGTGAATGATTCCATTGAAACTGGGCAAAGTCGGGGCTATTGCCTTCCCAACACGTTTCGCAACGGCAATACACCATAAGGTGTCAGTAGAGTGGGAAATTGTTTTGCACTTTAAATTGGACTATTAATGCCACGAGATGCGCCATGCGTGAATATCCTAATGCCGAACACGATCCAATCCGCTCTACCCCACCACTAAACGGCAACTCTATCACTGACATCAAACCTGCCGATACATTTTCTAGTTAGATATCCGCAGGAAACGAAGAAAAAAAAAAGAATATCCCAGAGAGATGGAAAAACAAAAGCCTGGTACGCCGAAAAGTATAATGTTGCACATCCCACTCATTACTCATCCTCCATCACCATCTCCTTAATCTCCTCCTTTACCAGTCCTCCATTTTCCCCACCCTCCGCCACCACGCCCGGTGCAGCTGTGGCATCGCCTGCTCCAGGCACTTTGGTGAAGAGCAGTCCAACCTCATCCGCAAGGTCATAGGTGATGTCCTCGGCAATCTGCTCGTTATAGCGCTCGCATAAAGGCCTCGCCCCGGAGATATCTTCAGGATCGGGTGGAGCCAGCCAGTCCGGACCAAAGTTTGTCTCAACAATAGCACCTTTGAACACGCTAACAGCGGGGTAATAGCCCAACGTTCCATCGTCGAGTTCTCGTCCACCCGCGGTAGCCAAAGGTCTCGAGGCGGGGGGTAAGAAGGCAAAGAGGTCTTCCCATGGTGTTCCGACGTATTTGCCGTTCTTGTAGACTTTGATGTATGAACCTGGGAGTGTTTTTGGCGGTGTGCAAGCTTTAGCGCCTGGGCTCGGGTTCATCAATTCCTCCATGTCCTTTGTGGGCTGGTAATCGAATTGCTCGAACCACAGCTGGTTCTTGAATCTGATGGGGATGCGATCACGTATCAAATCTCCAGCTTTGACCACCGGGTCCTCCGTGAGACCTCTCTGCACGTCCAAACTTGGCAAGCAGATTCGCAACCCGATAACATCTCCCTCCTCAAAATTCTCTTCCAGGAAATCCTTCGGACGGGACATGTGGACCTTCTGCCCCGATAAATCTCTGATTCCATACGAGTAGCCATCAAACCCGACCGGCGCATCCAACGGAGCTTCACGCCGTGCCCACCCAACACGAGCATGACCACCCGACGGGATCCCACGGACTATTTTGCACTCGTAGTACCAGTCTCCCTCCCTAACACCGACATTCGCGCGTGCCATTCTCCACCCCTTAGCTGTTGTGATGGCGCTACCGTTGCGATTCACGTGGACCGCTGCGTTCATGTCTTCAAAGTTTATCCGTGGAGTGTAGGGGGCATACTCTGTATTTCGGTAGGAGACGGTGGGTAGCATGCGACTCGCTTCGCAGGGCGTGTAACGGTAACCCCGTCGATTCATGGGACTATTAATGTCAGCACGGGTATCAGGTCAAAACGGGCAGCAAGCGGGCAATTCACTGATCATTGACGGAAAAGAATTCATTCTCCAATTCCGGTATCGGGCAGGGGGCTACCGGTGGCGCACGATGTCCGTAATAGTCCTGCTCTTGCGGGGGAGGCAGACGGAAGCGCATCAAAGCGGGCCAGTCATCGCCAGGAGTATGCTTACCCGAGCCGGTACCGATGGGCGAGGGGACATTCGAAGACTCCTTCTTCTTCCAAGAGTCCTTCTTCTCGCGGGGCTCACGGGGGATCCCCTTCTCTTTGTGCTTCATTGGACGTGGTAGTTCCGTGAGGTCAATGTCTACCGAGCGTTTTGAGGGAATTGTTGGTGAGGGAGGTGAGGGAGCCGCATCAGGCATTGCTATATCGGACATTGTGGGCGATGACGAACGTTGCAAAGAATGAGGGTAAGGGGGACAGGCTGGAGGGAGTACGGTAGAGTTATGATACTGTGGTAAGTTGGGTCGCGAATTCGAGCCCCAATTCAACCAACCCAGATGATGTCGTTGGAGGTCGCCAAGACAGCCTCCCTCGAATTATAATGATGCACAGTTACACGGCAGGGGGTTAGGTTATTTGGCGTGTCACAGCTTGATCCATTTGATTTGGTCCCTCGACCAATTTTCTGGTGAGAAAGTGTGGGGGAACCGAGTTGTCTGGGTGTCGTGGGTGAGCTCCGGGAGTGATACATCTCTTGCCAACTGCCTCAACAGAGCCTTTCCACCCTAGTCCATCCAAAGCCCTTCATGGCACGGGGAACAAAGGCACAAAACTCATTACCAGTACCGATGTCCTTAAAGGTTAAACCCGCCCCCCACCTGTTGGGCTCTCGTATGTACAAGTATCATACTCCGCGGGGATATTGATCTCTTGGGGCAAAATACCCCCCGCCTTGTGGGGGGGGGTAGAGCTGACAGAGGGGCAAGGAATCGCACCATGCACCCCCGAACATGCGGGATCAGAGGAAAAAAGGACATAAATATCCATGTTATTTTTCTCGTTTGTCCGCTTTGTCACTGATTACACTACCTACTACTATCTATCTATCCATGCTGATATCGTTCCCTATCAGGCTCTAGGAGACCCCTTTCAGGGCACCCACCAAGAGCCTCGCCTGTCCTGGTGCAGTTATAGTCTAGGGTCGGACAACCACACTTACTCCCGACAGGGAGTGAACAGTCTGATGGCATATTAGCCAGGCCCTCCAGTCTCTCAGTCCCCTATGAGCACGGTTCCCTAATACAAGTAGCGGGAGGAGGTATTAAACCTGATTATGTGCAGGGGAGACAGGACTCTAAAGGGCTCGGGGATTCGGGATGGTCGGCCGGAGTCATTTATATTCCCGCAATTGATGTGATACCACATTACAGAATAGTATCAAGCTTCAGGTAATGTCATATTTGTGCCTTATAATAACCCCGTTCAGGGCATTCTGCCCGACCTTCAAGTCTAGCCGTCACGAGCTCTCGCTGGCACATTGGATCCCCCCACCGATAAATCCAACCGAGTGATATTCAGTGGATATGCAAATAAACGCTATTAAAACGCTATATTCTGACTTCAATATTTGCAAAAAAAAAAAAGGAAAGGAGGGGGGGGACGGGAGAAGAAAAATCGATACCCGGCACCTCACTATCGCTAATTCCCCGCACACAAAACAAAAGGAAAAAAAATTTATCATATCAGTCGCTAAATCAGTAGTAAGCGGTCTAAAAAAGGAGCCAGTAGACAAAAGAAAAGCAGAAAAGAATGGAGAAAAGAAAAACCGAAATTGAGCTCGTCACTGCCCTTACTGAGCCCACATCATAGGCCGCCCATCAGCACATGATACCTACATCAGATGCCCACTCATATAAAACTCAATATCCTCCTCGTCAACAATCTCATGCTCTCCATCCGCCTCACTCAACGCCCCAAAGTCCTCATCCTCACCAACCACTTCCTCCTCTAGTTCCCCCTCCTCTTGTTCCCCCTCCTCTTGTTCCCCCTCCTTGTGTTCCCCCTCCTTGTGTTCCCCCTCCTCTCCCCCCTTCTTCGCACCATCTGCGGACCCAATAACAACCTGGCTCCCAAAAAACTCGTGCCGACACAGTGGGCACCGTACAATCTCCGTGCAATACCCTTCATACGCTACAAAGCACGGCCTGCAAAGCCCGTGCTGTGCACCCTGAATACTACACGGGAACTCGCGTGTAACAAGATTCTCGTAGCAAACCGGGCAAGTGGTTGGTTCCGCTTTGATCTTCTGGGACGAGCCGGGGGATATCGGTAGGGTATGGTAGGAACGAGTGGGGGAGGCGGAGGTGGAGGAAAGACGGGAGTACTCTGCTAGGTTCCGCACTGTCCAGTTTTCTAGTTCCCGGGATTGTGTGAGGGAGCTGGGGCGGAGGGGGTAGCTATCGGGCGTTAATGTAGGCCCATGAGAGAGATATGACGAACCAAATGCGAAAATCGAAGGAACTTCCCTTTCCGGAGAATCAGGGAAGATGAATGGCGCAAGAGTGTCAACCCAAGTTTCTGGGAGCGTGAGTGGAGAGCTAGCCCTAATAGTAGGATTATATGAGTGCGGGGGACTCCCCCGCACAGAGCTCGCATCTCCACCTTCCCCTTCCACCCCTTCGGCGGAAGTGCTCCAGAAAGCAATTTCAGCATCAGGGCTGCCCTCATCCGGGTGCGGCTCCGGCGGGGTCGCAAAGCTCCAGTCCGTCAACCCGCCACTGCTCAGCGAAGACCGACTAGAGGAAGACGAAGAAGTATCACTCCAACCCGATGCCGCGACAGAAACCTGAGTAATATCGGGGTATTCAAGAGGATAACCCAACTCACTTACCAACGCATTCAAATACTCCCTCTCCTCTTCCTCGGGATCAACATCCCTAACACCAACCGCCACATAAGCATACTCACTATCCGATTCCACAGGCACCTCAGTCCCAACCTCCGCCCAAAAGCTCCTGATAGCGTCGGTATCTTCGAGGGCCATATCTCCCAACGTCCGCTGTGTGGTCGCCCCGGCAGTAAACACTCTCCGAGACCCCCCACCCGCAATTCTTGCGGGGGCGCTGGAAAAATTATTATATCGCTGCTCGCGAACAGACAAGGAGCTACTCCGATGCTGCGATTGAACACGGGAGTCATGCCATGAGTCCAGTCTAGTGTTTACCCGCGCTAGCGCTTGTTCTTGGCCGAGTAGGCTGGAAGGGCAGCTTTGCCAGGATGGGGAGGAAACCGCAGAAGTGCTGGGCGTTGTACCGTAGGATTCAAAGACGGACGGGGGGCCGAAGTGGGATTCGAGAGCCGGTGTGTGCGGTTGCGACCGTGGCTGTGGAGATATTGGGATCCGCGCGGGGGTGCTGGGGACATTGGGTAAATCCCTGACTTCCTGACTGAAGGTTTGGGATATCGCCTCGCTGGCTAGGGTCCGTGCTACTACTACCCCCCGGGGAGAACTAGTCCTTGAGAATCGAGTTGCTGCAGTTGTCGTAGTGATGTTCACGATGTCTAACCATCGGGACACCGTCCCTCTTGGCGAGTTTCCGGGAGAATTAGAGCCACGAAACCTCTCCCAGCTAGCCCTTCTTCTCTCACCCAGATAAAGGGGCATGATTTTTGAGTTTTTTTGACAATTTTCGGATTCGTGCGTGCGATATACAGGGGCAGATAGCAAAGCTTTTTTCGACCTAGAAAGCGTGAAATGTGAGTGTAATTTGGTATAATATAATACTCCTTGAACCATAGTTCCTGATAGCTTTATACAACTCCTCCACCCATCCATCTTGAAAAGCAGCTGTGGAAGGCTTCTTTTTTTTTCAAGTCTTCACCGTTAGTTAATCCTACTTGAATGTCTTAAACCCACAATCCCGTCTCTAGATGCGTCACGTAATATCACTCGGGGCTAGTACTCGATTCCCAACCGGGCTGAAACATTAGACTTGAACAGTGGGTTTAGAGGCCAAGATAAGGTTTCAGGAGCGACCCGCCCCCCCACGGGTAAAGCGAAACCCCGCTCCACAAAGAACTCTTCCAGCTTTTGTGGAAGAGTCTCTTTTGATAAATAAGTGTATTCCAGAAAAAAAAAAACTCCAGAGACTAGCCGAACACCCACTGCTCGTGAGCCTGCCATGGAAACGGCCACTCGTCGCTCGATCTCTCAAATCCTTCGGGGGTCAAGAGGGAGTATGATACTTGTAACCACCGTATTGTACTGCGCTCGTAGAGTTGTAGCACCCGACATTGGAGCCGGTCACAATTCTCCGAGTAGGTTTAGCATAGGTTCGGGATACCATAGCTTTCCCAGCTTTCATATTTATCATAAATAATCTTCCTGAAGGCCTTTGGCCGCGGCCACTGACTTGCCAATAAATCCTGTATTGGGTAGCTTGTTTAATCCCTGATATCCGTGTCGTGATTGCTGGTTGGTAATTATTTGTGAACGTCCGTGGTTTCTCTCCTCCTGTCTGTTAATCCTCCCTCCAGCTGGTCCTCTGGCGGAGACACCTCGTTAAAATAGCCTCACTTTGATGCATTCGTTTACTACCAGGTAACCCTCCTACTGGTAGGTTGTGGATTCTCACCATTCTTTACCATACTCCGGTCCATTCCGCCCACTTCTTTCCCTCCGAGCCTATTTCAAAAACGGCGCAACACATAACACCCCGGCCACGGCCTAACGATGTAACATGATGCTCCCGGCAAACTTGGCTTCCCCATGTTCCCAAATTCGATTCCCGTGGACAATAAACAATTTCCCCGAGAGAGAATAAAAAAGCTGCATACCTTTAGAGGGGGCGAGTGCTGATATCATTGAAAAAAACAGGACTTTGGATCATTCCCTGCCTTCATTCCTCCTGCCCTATCCTCTCTATAAATACGTGGTAGCCTCAAAGAGGGGCGCAGGGTGGAGAGACACGCGAACCTTTTTCAAGTGGTTGCTGGTATCATTTTTGAAAAGGTATCGCACAGCAGCTATCAGTGTGCTTCCCGGCCTTGATTGATAGACCTGACTGATAAGTTGTGTCAATCTCCCGACACAATCGGCTGAGGCGAGCCATGCAAGAACTGGGCGACTCGTGGGAGTTTCAGGTATCAATAATATTAAAACCCGAACTGACTATACTACCCGGTATATGAGCATCCAGCAACCCCCGGCCACCCACCCCAGTGGCATCATGCACAGATCCTTCAAACCCCATCCCGTGAATACCACAGCCTAGTACACACTTTCACTGTAGCCCCGATTCCTTCTTGCTGCGCCAAGCTCTGGAGACAAGAACGCGAACTGTTATGAATATACAACCATTTTCCCTTCTCGAGGCAATATTCCTCCCACATGCTGGGATCGATCCTTCTTCAGTTCACGTCCCGGTCTTCATTCCCTCCCCATTCTCGGGTACGGTTGATACAGGACCATGATAGAGTTAAACCACAGACCAGCAAGTAAAGCCCGCAACTCATACCCAAGTATTCAGTCGGTCCCTCAGCGGATAGAGCAGTATGCGCAAGCAAACAGACACACCCCGCCCATGTGCGCGAGCTCCGGATTGAGCATTTTTCAGCAGAATACCTCCCTGGACTACCGTGAGCACTCGAATGCAAGAGAAATATACTGTGTCGTTGAAATTCCCCCTAGGTGGTAGAGGTAGAGAGAGTACCCCGAACCGGGCCCCAGCTGAGACAAGAAAAAGAAAACTACCCAGCGCCTTACTGCGAAAGGCGACCAGAAAGTCCTGGCACATTTCTCCTATGTATTGTATGTTCGAGTCCTTATGGTCTGAATATACTCGCTGTCTCTCATCTATGTCCAAACAAACCATAACCCCTCCTAGCGATCAACCACGTACCTAGCAACCAAGTATCTTCTTCATAGCAGACAGTGCCCCAGACCAGCCATCCCGGTCTAGGAAAACGGAAGGCCAATGTCCCGGAGTCTTGGGCGTTGTGCATCGGTGTGGTCACACTAATACTACGGGAGCCAGCGCCAGACCGGAAGGTGCCGTAAGATGGAACCCTCACCCCGTCGACAAATCTTCCGGCGGTGTCGCGTGATGTCTCGCCCATCGGATAAGATGGTTCCGGCAACCCTTGCTGCGGCCGGAGTGTCTGGAGACCCGGCACCACACCATTGACTTGGTTCAAGGCTTAACTCATGGGAGAGATAGGTGCGGTGGTTTTGGAATTGGTAAAACTTGTGAGATGTATCTGTGCCCGGGAGAAGACTTTTCGGTGATCCGAATGTATGTCTTGGGAGTCTCCTTTGGGCTTAGTTGATGTTGATTGCTAGGACTCGGAAAGCCACGGTAGCGCGTTCGCTCATAGTACTGTACGCATCGGGGCCAAAATTGTCAGGGGAACGAACCTAACTCGTGACAGTGGCTGGGTGTGCGGTGGCGGAGCAGTGCGGTGTTTATAGTGTTCCACCGCACAACAAAGCCGATACCGGTAGTACGAGTACAATGAGGACCCCCGTGAGTGGTAGCATAACGAGCAGCAGCATTAAGATCTACGTGACACATCATCTAATCATCGCAGCTCAAAGCGCACAAGCGCAATATTGCCATTATTACTCTTCTAGTCAACGTAGCATTAAGGGTACTCGAGTACATGCTGTAGAAGGAAAAAAACGGTTTCATTCACTCACCACGAGACGAGAAAGGAGATAGGGGAAAAGGGACCCATAGAGACTATAATTAACATATTCATATCCTAACAGCATTCAGAGACAACCCAGCATAAAGTCCCATCTATGACAGGAAGAAGAAGAAAAATTCCTCAGGGGCAAACTCAAGACATGAGCAACCTGACAGCCCAAGAAATATTCAGAGTCCTTAGGTCCTGATAATTCTGACCAACGCCCAGAAATAGCACTGGAATTCCGGTCGCGAAGACCATGCTAATGAGGGTTCCAATCTATAGGCGGTTAATCAAAACGCTAGCAATGCCAATCTTACAGCGGGCAGATAGAATAGAGGGGGGTACTAACCATATCACCAACGGTATCACATTTACTAATAATAAACCCATCCAGCGACCTACCGCTCCCAAACGCGGCATTGAAATTCCTCGCCTGAAGGACCGAATCAGTTCCCACGAGCGCCTCTCCGACCATGAGTATCTTATCCGGATCGGCAAACTTGGCAAACTTCTCCAAGCTGCTCATGAGCCTCTGATCATTGTGTCTTCTTCCAGCTGTGTCGATAAGCACAACGTCGTACCCTTCCGCCTCTCCATGGGCGACAGCGTCCTTGGCAATGTTAGCGGCATCTTTCCCGTAGCCCTTTTCGTAGAGTTCGACAACACCCCCCTCACGCTCTGTAAGCTCTTGTAGGTTGCGCACGTGTACGCGGAGTTGCTCCACGGCACCGGAACGGAAAGTGTCACAGGCAGCCACCAAGACTTTGTACTTGTTTTGGAGAAGAAAAAAGCAGATCTTTGAGAGGTTTGTAGATTTGCCGACACCATTAACGCCAACAATGGAAATGACGTATGGGCGGCGGCCGGAACGCTTTGTTTGGATCTCCCGGAGAAGGTCGAGTGAGTTGGTAGGTGTAAGAATCTTACGAAGAGCAGCTTCGAGGGCAGCTCTGACGGGCACCTCAATTGATTGGAATGACCCAGTCTTCTGTCCGACAAGAGATTTCTCTACAGAGTCGCAGACTTGTAAGGCTGCCTCTCTGGCAACATTCTTCCTAAGAAGTTGGTCGAGCATTGCCGCCAAAGGCTTTTCCAGGTCAGCCTTGGTGAGAACCTTACCTCCCACCAAGTTCCGGAAAAAGCTAAATGCCCCGAGCCCGCTGCCAGAACCACCTGCATCGGTATCCTTCCGATCGGGCTCCCCCAGTATAGCGCTAACCTCCATATCCAGGTCCTTCAACACAAACTCCCCCTTAGAAGTCTTACTGCCCCACTCCTTCTGATCAATGTAATCCACCTTTCTTGTGCTATCGCGGCCATGCTCTGCTTCCTCATCGGTAGAATTTGCATTAGGAGCCGAATAGTCCAGCACGGTGTCTGGATCCTCTTCTTCGGCGTTCCCGTCGGCACCCCATCGGCGCATCTTCTTAGCATTCTTCCCAGACTTTTTGCCTTTCTCGTTACGAGCAGGCGATACCTCTTCACCGCTCGATGGATAAGTCGCGGACGTGTGTCCCCGGCGACCCCGACTTCCGCGGACAGGACGTTTGTTAACACTCAGCAGGTGAGATCCACTACCAGGAGCCGGTGAAACGGGACGAGCGATTTCAGGAGCCACAGGCGCAGCAAGGTTCCCCGCGGGAGCTGGTGTCATGGGCTTAGGACGAGCTGTTTCAATATTAGCTCGGAAGCGGGAAAAGGGAAAAAGGGTAGGCAGAAAGGTGAAAGCACATTTCATGATACTGGGCATCGGCGGCGGCGGTGGAGGCGCATCCCACTGCTCCTTAACAATAGTAGGTGTAGTCGAGCGACCGTCCGCATCGGGTGCGATTGGGCGAGGTCCACCCGCTTTTTTCTCAAGCTCTCGCACCCTGCTTTCAAAATAGCCATCAAAGTGGCACTCGATAGTTGAAGTATGTGGCTTCTTCAGCTGGTCCCCATACAAAGTGGTGAAAAGCTTCTTCACAGTGTCCAGGAGTTCGTCAATCCATGTGAGCTGCAGAAGACTCTGGTAGACAGCCTAGGGAAAGATTAGCACTCGCTCAACAAGGAAAAAGGGTCTTCTGGAGGTGGCGCACAACGAAAATTAACCCAAAATCGTTTGAAGATGTCCACTTCAGGGTGTAGGAATCCTTCTTATACCACTTGCCATCGCTACCGGGCTGCACACGCTCTTCGATCAAGACATCGCTGATAAAACTATTGACGATGTTTGGGTTTACCGAAGCGTATTTTTTCGACCAAAGGAGGATACCGGAGGTGGTTATTATCTCAAAGGAGTCCAGGGCAGACCGTGCAACATCCGCCATATTAAATAATTTGCGAGGGCAATACCCGTGAGATAAAGGGGAAAGGGGTGAGGGTCTGAGGATGGAAGGGTGAGGGAGGGACAGATGGATGGAAGAGCCGATACTCGAGTAGTCTAGGTGATGGAAGTGGACAGAAGAGGAAGCTCTTGCTGTCCTTTCCCGACCTATTGCGGCTCGTAACTTTTTAAGTTTCTTTTTCTCAGTCAAAGAAACCCTGGACATCTTATCAAGATAATGCGAGTATATCGAGATCCTATCTAATCACTTGGCATGATATTGGCCCCTCCGTAACTTTCTGATGTCCACAGAGTTCTCGTATCATATCATAACCGTGACGCCCCAGGTGCCCCACAATCTCCAGCTCTAGATATCAAGACGGGACAACTCGAGAGAGAGGGTTTTCAATCTGGTAACGGCAGATTCCGCAGGAAACAGCCTCTCCAATCTTCCGCCGGAGGACTGCGGAGACTTCGCGATACCTCAGACGTTACGAGAACTTGCGGACGCGAGTGTACTGTACAAGATAGCGAGACACCCGGATACAGGACCCGCCCAAACACATAACCTCCACTGATCGACCCGCGCCGGTATCGGGGCGAGTGTGTGCCGGTATTCGGTCAGGCGTTCCGCCGTTGTACGATACGACAACCCTCTACGATACTCGTGTGCTGCGAGTGGGCAAGGAAGGAAATTACCCGCACACCACCACTACCAACACCCTCCCGAGACCGCCTCCCCCGGCTATACCCCCAGCACTCTTCCTAGTTCCACCACCGCCTACCGCCCTAGCCCCCGCCTTCCTTCCTCCCCTCGCCACCACACGATAATCGTTCAAACAGCTCTTGTAGTTAGAGAGCCATTATTCCGCTTTATCGTCAGTCATCCCACTTGCTCTTCCCCGACTCGCAATACCTACAACCCCCACCTACCGTTAATCCTTCACGCTCCCAGTATCTCCAGCCTCTCTTGCTAAACCCATTTCCAGCTCACCACTCTCCATCCGTTCAAAGATGTCTAAGAATCCGGGCCCCGCTCAGCCGGCGCTGTCGACTGCAACCAATGTTATAATGATTGACAACTACGATTCCTTTACTTGGAACATTTACCAATTCCTCACCCTGGAAGGAGCCAAGGTTACGGTTTACAGGAATGATAAGATCACTTTACCCGAATTGGTTGCCCTAAATCCAACTCAGATTGTTATTAGTCCGGGCCCCGGCCATCCGATCACGGATTCGGGTGTCAGCATTGAATGTGTTAAACACTTTGCTGGAAAGATACCCATTCTTGGAGTCTGCATGGGCCAGTAGGTCACTCGCTCTTTGGCTCCTGCTCTTACGAGCAGAGCCCCCCCAAACTATTGTGTCCCTGCTAATCAATTTTCTGCAGGCAAGTAATCTTTAGCGCTTTTGGTGGCGCTGTCGAGTACGCCGGCGAAGTTGTACACGGAAAAACGTCGCTAATAAAACACGATGCAAAGGGAATCTTCCGGAACATTCCGCAAGACATTTCGGTAACCCGATACCACTCCCTAGCTGGAACTCACGCTACGCTCCCGGCAGACCTGGAGATTACATCCTGGACCGACCGGGATGTTATTATGGGAATTCGCCATAAAGAGTATGCCATTGAGGCCGTACAATACCACCCCGAGAGCATTCTTACGGAAGAGGGACGAATGATGTTCAGAAACTTCTTGGTGCTGACTGCCGGTACCTGGAAGGGGTGTGAAGTCCCTCCGAATACTGGCTCTTCAGAAAACAGGGCTCTGGATCCGAACGGTGTTGCGAAGTCGGAATCGATACTTGACAAAATCTATGCCCATCGCCGCGCCGCTGTAGTGGCCCAGAAGCTTTTGCCATCCCAGCGGCCGGCGGACCTGGAGGTTCTACATTCACTATCGATAAGCCCACCCTTGATTGACTTCCCAACCCGCCTCCGCGCGGTATCAACTCCATGTGCGCTGATGGCTGAGATCAAGCGCGCTTCGCCCTCGAAAGGCCTCATAGATATAGACGCATCCGCTGCAGTACAGGCCCGTACATATGCACTCGCCGGTGCTGCAACAATCTCCGTGCTCACTGAACCTGAATGGTTCAAAGGCAGTATTGATGACCTACGTGCAGCAAGGCAGGCGGTGGACGGGATGCCTAATCGTCCGGCAATCCTTCGAAAGGAGTTCATTTTTGATGAATATCAAATCTTGGAGGCGAGACTAGCGGGAGCCGATACAGTATTGCTCATTGTCAAGATGTTGGGCGACGAAGAGCTGAAGAGGTTATACGACTATTCTAAATCGCTAGGGATGGAGCCTCTGGTAGAGGTGAACAGTCGGGGGGAGATGGAGAGGGCTCTAAAAGTCGGGTCTACAGTCATTGGAGTCAACAACCGGGATTTACATTCCTTCAAAGTCGACCTCGAGACGACAAGTGGATTGGTGGGGATGATTGATAAGGAAAAGGTTGTTCTCTGTGCCCTCAGCGGTATATCCGCCCGAGAGGACGTCAAGAGATACGAGAATGAAGGTGTTGGAGCAGTTCTTGTCGGAGAGGCGTTGATGCGAGCTGGGGAAAATGTGAAAGCCTTCATCAGCGAGCTCCTAAACGACTCGCCCTCCCCAACAGGTACTCCCTACGGGCATGGGATCCTTGTCAAGATTTGCGGCACCCGCTCCGTCGAAGCTGCAAAAGTAGCTGTAGAATCCGGTGCAGACATGATCGGAATGATCCTCGCGGAAGGCACAAAGCGAACCATCGACCTCGAAACCGCTAAAGCCATCTCCGACGTCGTCCACTCAACCCCCAAGGGCGGAGTCCCCGATACCCCCATCGACCCCAAATCTACAGCCAGCACCCCACAGCCACGCCCAAAGATCTCAGCTGAAGGCTGGTTCGAGCACTCTGTCAAAAACCTCATTCACCACCCAAAACGCTCCCTCCTCGTCGGTGTCTTCCGAAATCAATCATTCCCAACAGTTTTGGCCCTCCAGCAAGCACTAGCACTAGACATCATCCAACTCCACGGCTCCGAGCCCCTAGAGTGGGCTCGCCTCCTGCCAGTCCCTGTCATTCGCCGCTTCTCGCCAGGCGAAGACGGCCTTAACAAATCCGGTTACCACGCAATCCCACTTCTAGACTCTGGCACCGGCGGTACAGGAGAGCGTGTAGACCTCGGTGAAGTTGAGGACGTCCTTGTGGCGGGGATTCCAGTCATGCTAGCCGGCGGCCTCGACTGTCATAATGTGGAGGAGGTCAGAACCGGAGGACTGCTCGAAAAGGGCATTATCGGCGTGGACGTTAGCAGTGGAGTTGAAACGGATGGGAGACAAGACCTTATGAAAATTAGGAGGTTCGTGTACAGGGCGAAGGGGAGGGCTTGATCTCACTTCTTCCCCTTCGTCGCCTTGCTGCGTTGATCTTGTGCTCCGATTTCTCAATATAATACCTTTGACCATCGTGGGAGAGTTTTGTGGAAGCTGGGACATCTATATATACTGCTAGTGCAAGTGCCATAGCGCGTGAATCTCACGCCATTGTGGGTTTATCGGGGCGAGATCCCTCTGCCCCACTTTAGTGACAGCCATTCTGTTCAAGGAGTGAGGAGTTAAATAGATCTAAGAGCTACACGGTTTACAAACGAAGCAATGAAGTATGTCCAATTCGCCCACTCTCCCAAAACACTATCTCGCGAGCGCCATCGGTCCCTTAACTTATATATCCCCGCGCCATTCGCCAGAACAGAACTAATAGAGGTTGTTCAGTAACCAGACAGGAGCCAAAACATAGCAAAAGTGGCGGTTTTCGAGCTATCATTACGCAACCACCATGGGCAGAAGCAACATAGAAAAAAAAAATCCAAAAAGCAACTTGCTACAATAACACACATAAATGAGTGTGGGATTTTTTTTTCTTTTCCTTCAATTCTCCCAGAGTTGTGAGGTGTGGTATGTTCATTCCCACGAGGTACCTGCCAAGACAAATGTTTTGTATGGGAAAGGCCCTTTGGAATTGATCTCACCCAGTTCATGTGCCCACAGTTCTCTACAAAGAACAGGAAAAAAAAAGCCAAAAATAAATATTATACTTCAGACATGTCAAATATATATAGATATTTTTTTTCAAGGCTGGGTTTCAAGATATCTGTGGAGTTATCGTGGCTCGAAAACCCGCAATTTTGGTGTGCCCCGGCCTCTGTCTGGTTAGCAAACCGACCTCTAGTGGGAACTGTTGTCTGGAATGTGCTACACGTGCTGAGTAGCTGGTATGACAGATCTCATCCCTAGGCCAGGAATGAAGCTGGTGGATTGCATTCCCCGGTCAGGAATGAGTGGCTCGTGAATGAAGGCCGGTATGGAATGATGACTGCACTGAACTTAGGACGCTCGTATATATAGTCTCCTTTCTCTTGCTGTTACCATCCGATCACTGATCACAGGGTTAAACATCACTCTATTTAAAGTCGACTCCAGTTTTCAGGAACCAGATTCCAGTTGGCGAGTGATAAAATATGACTCGACTACATGATCGGAGTTGTGCCCCCGTATCATAGAGACACTATCCGATAACAACGAAAATTGCTCCTCACGACTACCCCCGGAAAGGTGCGAGCCGGGCCTCCACCACGGCCAGATCTTTTGCCAATGCGTGGGATCATCAGTCCGCGCCGGGATTCGCAATCGCAGTCAGATCGAAGGCGATCCGGAAGGCGCGGGGTGGGGGGTGAGGTGAGGTGGCTGGCGTCCCCAAGGACTACAGTGCCCATTCACCTAATTAGCGTATGGAGCCTTGCACTATAGCGCTCAATATGACGCAGCGCAACACAGTACATGTGTCTTCTAACAATTATATCCAAATAAAAATAAAAATAAAAAGACACCCGACGTGCGGGATGGGTCCCCCCTTAAAAAAAGTCCCAACCTAGTAAAGAATATCATGACAAATCCCCAGCGGCTGAAACTCGTTGGCCACGTGTCGTCGCCCGCAAGAATCTCGAGGAGGGGGGCCGGATTTCTACAAGCGAGTGATGCTAGGTGACGCTCACTTTCTCCCGACCCATCATCAATCTCGAGAGAGTACCCCCACCTATCAGCAGTAAATTATTATGCAAAAAGATCTTGAGAGGGGGAGAAAATGTGTGCTCGAGGATACTGTGCATTTTTGGAATTATTCTATCCGCTAAGGGTAAAAAGTGATGCGAATATCGAAAATGCTCTTCGGATGGTCCAAGTACTGTACTGTACACTTATGGTACGAGGTATATCATATCATATCATACAGCGGAACCAATAATGCAATGCGCCTTCATTCGATATGTAACATCCCAATAGTGTCTGACAGAATCGAGCTCGTGGCGGAATAACGGATGTAAAGAAAAAAAATGTGATCACGACCAGTAAGTTGGCTAATACTTGTAGTGTTTTGCCCCCCTTCCACTACACTCTCCCAAACTTAGAGGTCAGGCTTGGCGGTTAGCAGACTGCGGTATGTATGGTTCTACCATGTAAACAATATTGATTCGGCTTTGTTGATATGTAGGATATAACTCAAGTGATCGAGTTCTGCACAAATTTAATGAAACGGTACCTAACATACAGCACATTGGATTCGAAACTGTTTAAAAGAGGGAAAAAAACAGACCGGCAGGAGATGGGTTATATCACCTCAGCTCAACTTTCCGGAAACCAGTTGTGAAGACCAGTTGATGAGATCGAGCGTCCAGTTGTTGGCTGATCATGATATGTAAAGTATGGTATCATATCAGAAACAAAAAACAAGGCCTATACTCGCGTACCGAAAGTCGTCTAATATTGTATATATACTCTCCGGGGTGGGGTGATTACCCCATACACGAAGATCCCAAATGCAGTGCGTTGAGCAGCACTCCCCAACAAGGATCCGTTTGATAAGGATGAGGATCTATTATGCCCCACACAGGTATGGTGGTATAATAAAAATCTACAATGCCCTCCAGACCCAAAATCGATTTTGCCTTTTGATAGCAAAATCCATACTCCGGTGTCAGTAACGGGCGCCAGACAGATTGAGCATCGTTATGATGAGAAACCATTACTCTCCATAGTATCATATTAGGAGGTGATGAAAGATGTGATTGTGTTACTATTGCCCGGGTGCACGCCCCCCCAACGCCTGGACAGACTGCCAGTATCGGAGCCGGAGAGCAGTGTTATCAGTCCCCGAGAGCTAGTCCCGTCTCTCAAAGTTGTATCAAACGAGTAGAGTTGGCAATCGAGGTTGAACGCCTACCCGCGTCCCTCGAGTTGGGGGGGGGGGGGGGTTGCTTAAGATAAGCAGCCCTTTTGAATATCTTGCCGGCGGACTGTCGAGACGTACACATAATTTTCCAATATCACAACCTGCGATTTTTGGAAGTTGAACTGTCCAGACAAGAGATAGTGATTGCCACGCAGGTTAATAGCGGTGGCGTGCTGAGTTTACCCAGAATCTACAATACCGGTACTCCAACCTGGCTCAAATCAATTCAACAATGACGGAACCTCCCCCGCGCAATTTAAGCTCCGGCCCGACCACTTCCATCTCCTGAACGAAGCAAGTAAGTTAGTCGAGTGGTTCCGTCGGGAACGAGAACGGATATTTCGTGACCGATGGTGATTTTCCCCGCGCGAAGGTTTCACTCAAGAACCCAGGACTGGTACTTGTAATACCCCGGATAGCGATTCCACAGCTTTCCAGCAGGACGTGCTAAAAGTACTCATACTATACTGTACTCACAAACAAGCTAACAATGGTATCCTACAGCACGATACCTGTGGGGTGACATGCCAGACCCTTGTCGCGATCCAGGAGGACGTTCTGAGAGCTTTCCGATACGGATATATCCGCATATCGCATCTGCATACCTCGTCCCTTACATAACCCACTTTCCGTTCGAATACCGGTACCGTACCGTACACTCCCGCGCGAAACCTATCGGCATGTAGACCGGGAGTGCCCAGTATCGAAACGTTTCATGTTAAACACCGTATGTACTAGTACTTTGGAAATTTAATATGGTACCCTACAGTACCAGTACCGTGCAGTTCTGCACGTCCGATTCATGTGTGATGTAAATAGAGAGAGAGATAAATAAATAAACAAATGAACGATTCTCCAAGGACGATGGCAACGAACGGACCAACAGCTAGCTCTTCCTGCCGGCAACGTTCTTTCCCGGCCACCTTCCGACCAGTCCGTTCCCCGCGGGTGTGACATATGTTGTTCCGCGTTGATTGCTCGACCCGATGTTCCCTGTCGAACGGTGGTACCAATAGCAAGACATTGTACCGTAAACCCCAGTGCTGTGCCGTAAACAATAGAACCCATCATCACATTGGGACCCCCCCCCATAAGGATTTGGATTCTGCCCTCGTGATGCCGGCATTGAGTATGCTGGTCAGTGCGAACGCAAGGGCGTCGGAGGAAATTCAGCCACGTCGATCGGTGTTGCGTACCGGCACAGTATCATCATCACGCCTGCGGGTAGAACTCGATTCCGTCGAGGGGTTTCACGCTATGTACTCGTACTGTACTGTACGATTCGTCGGCGTGGGCTAGATCAAGTGTATGGCGTGGCAGGGATAACGGGAGGTCCCTGACACCGGTAGCGGACTGCTGGTGAAACGGGCACTAAAATTCATCGGACCTGTTCGTTCTTTGTGTGCTTGTAAATTTATGTATCAGACAAATATTCCGGCGGACGGGGGGGTGCATATTCATTGATGGCGGGATGGGTGACAGGTATTCTGGCAATTTAGATTTTTGGAAGGTCTCGTACGGTAGGCGTATCATAGGTTAATTGACAGTCCGACACCGTCACTTCCCTTCTCCATCCATCCATCCATCGATTGATTCATAGTCCTACACTCTACTATATTGGTACGGTACCCGCACCGCTCAAGTTCCAAACATCCTCCCATCCCACCGGAGCATCACTCACTCATTACCGTACCTTACTGAAGCTTCCTCCCAAAGCTAATGTAGTTAGTTAGCTACCACACTCCCATCCAACCCCACTCTCCTTTTCAGATACTGTACTGTGCCGGTATACCGCTAAGTTAGCCCGGCCACAAACAATGAAGAATACCACCGGCGTTTCAAATCACACGCCTACGCTGCCCACGTCTGCATACCCGCCACTTTGGAGGAGACGAGGGGGGAAAAAAATGCACCCTGCCCAATCTCCCCACCAGCGGTTCCCATGAACGGTTTCTAGAACAGGAACTAGGGTTCGTATCCGCTCGTTGATAGGTCCGGGAAACCGGGATACAGGCCATATCAGTGCTTTAAGGGTAGAAGTGCTAGTATGGGTAGGGATGGGGGTGGTACGAGTTTCTGAGCACAGGAACGATAAAGGATACCGGTAAGGAATATCGTACGTGTTTCCTGGCGGCGGGAAGGGGTGCATATAAAACTACATACTCGTAAAGTACAGTGGTAAAGTATTATGCAAAAGTCCAGTTGTTCCGCAGCGCTGGAGTGAGAGCCTCGGACTGCATACACTATCACTGCGTTCTCCGAGGGATAGACAGGGCCAGGCCAGTCCATTCAGACCAACTCACAATCACTCACTCGGTACTAAATCCAACTGAAGAGAAGCGCCGTTTAATCAGTATACATACATACATACTATACACATCATATATAAAGACGCACCGGATCCCTATATAACTCCTCAGTTTGTTACCATACCGATATCATACTTGATCCACCACCTTATGATACCATCATACCACCCTCCCCTCCACAGAACACCATATACTATCCCAACCATAAGTACTGTAGAGTACACAAAACGTGACCAGGAGCCCTTCACAAACTCCAGACCCG